GGATGGGTGTGTCAGAGGCGGTGCGGTTGGCGCAGGATAGAGCAGGGTTTAGGGCTGTTGTGCATAGGGTCGCTATGAGTTGGAAACGACTCGACGGCACATAACAACAACAACAACCTATGTATCACACATTCTCTAAATGCTCTGCATAGAATAACTCAGTCTGAATCTAAAAATTAATAAAACACTAAGAAATCAAAGTTTCAGAATAGTAATAGGACAGTCAAGGTCTTTTTCTTATACTATTAGATACATTATTTTAAAAAATTCATTACAGGAATAAAAATGAACTAGTTATAGGAATACTGTTACAAATTTCTAATCTAGAAAAATGTTAGTAATCAAGCTATTATAATTTAACATTGTATTTTAAAGAGATATGCATGGACATTTTCATCCTGCAAGTCCTCATAAGACAATACAAGCTTTATTTCTAACAAGCTTTACTCTAACAATTTCTGTCCATCCTAGGACCTGATGCTTTTTCTTATTTCAATATTACTGTAATATTTAAGGTTACAGAGCCTGGAATAAAAATCTCTTCAAAGGTCATAAACCATGTTATTTTACAACACTCTGAGAAGAGAGTATAATCATATTAAGGATGTTAAAGAATCTAAGCTAAGATAAACTGGCAAAGCATCATTTTAATATCATTAATTAAAATCTTTTTATTCATCATAATAGGCTTTCCAAACTTTCTTTTTCTCTACAAGCTGTTTCAGTTAAATATTTCAGTCCCCGTTCCCGCTTCCCCCCCCCCCCCCAGTTACCATCTTCCAGTCTCCATGTTGTAGATCCATAATTCTTCTCTAGGGAGATAAAAGTCATATAGTCCTCTGACTTGATTACTCTAAAAAAAAAAAAAAAGTAAAACATTGGTATTTCAATAGACATTGTTGAGTATTTTACTTGTCTGACGTTAATGAATTGTGAATAATTAAAAATAGGTCTTACAAGTAGCTCCACAGAATTGCATTAGTTTGCTGTGAGAGACGTCTCCAGAGTACTTAAGAGCAACAATGTCAGTCTGGAGACTAAGGTGCTCCTGATGCAGGCTATAGTCTTTGGAATTACTTGCTATGCATCAGAAAGCTGGACAATGACTAGAGATGATAGAGAACTGATGCCTTTGAGCTGTGGTGCTGGAGAAGAATACTAAATATATTAGGACTCCTAGGAGAACAAACAGAATCATCCTAGAAAGGGTGAAACCAAGCTGTTCCTCAGAGGCAAAGATTCTGGGGCTTCATCTGACATACTTTGGGTATGCTGCAAGAGACCAGTCCTTAGAGAGGGACACCACACTTGGAAGGGTTGAAGGACAGCACAAGAGAGAAAGATCCTCGACGAGATGGATTAATTCAGTGACGGGGTAATGAGGGTAGGTGTCAGAGTCAATAAGGTTGACACAGGATGGAGCAAGTTTCAAGGCTACTGAAGCGACTTAATAGAACATAACAATTATATAAATTGTATAGTCCTCCTAGTCTATGCTACTTACTGAAGTTAAAGAATTCTTAATATTTACTGTTCTTGATTTACATTCTGATACAACAGTTAATATTAAGCAGGAAATTAAAAGACCTCTGGGAAATCTCTTAATAGACAATGTACCAAACTTCACTTTCATCATTTCAGAAGATAACCACCTTGCTTGTATTCACAATCCAAGATTCCTTGATACCAGCAGTCAAGAAGTCAAAAGATGTATGATATTGTGAACACTGCTGTCAAGGACATTGCCAAGGTGGTGGTGGTGTTGGAGTCAAGTACAACTCATAGTGACCCTATGAACAAAAGATCTGAACCCAGTCCTGTCCTGCACCATCCTCACACTTCCTGACACACAAAAGCCCAAGGCAGTAGTCACTGTGTCAATCTATCTGGCTGAAGAGTATTCCTCTCCTTAGCTGACCCTCCTTCCTTCCCAACATCATGTTCTTCTCCAAGGAATAGCACCTCCTAGCAACATGTCCAAAGTATGTGAGGCAAAGCCTCATTATTCTTCCCTCCAAAGAGCACTCCAGCTGTACCATCTCCAACACCTGTCCATTCTGGCCGTCCACGGGATGTTCAGTGTTCTCCTGCAACACCACAGCTCAAAGGCATCAATTTTTTTTCTGTCATCCTTGTTCACTGTCTAGGTCTTGGATGCATAGCTAGTGATCAGAAAGACTATGGCCTTAATCAGACGCACCTTAGTCCTCAAACTAACATCATTACTCCTCAATAACTTGCAAAGGTCCCTCCTAACTGCAGATTTTCCCAGTGTAATGTGTCTCTTTATTTCCTGACTGCTGGTAACAAGGATACTAATTGTAGATCCAAGCAAGATGAAATGGTAAGAATCTCTGTTTTCTTGATATTGGGATGCAAACTATACTGAAAGGCTACATTCCTTGATCTTCTGCAACAAGTGCTTTAAGTTCTCCTCACTTTCAGAAAGCAAGGTTGTGTCATCTGCATAATGCAGGTTACTGATGAGTCTCCCTCCAATCCTGTGCCACATTCCTCGTCATAGAGTCCAGCTTCTCAGATAATTTGCTCAGCATACAGATTAAACAGGTACGGAGACAGAATACAACCCTGACACACTCCTTTCCCAATTCCAATCATGCAGTGCTCCCCTGCTCCATTTAATGATCCAGGTATAGGTTTCACCTGAACGCAATCAAGTACTCTGGGATTCCCATTCTTCTCAATGTCAGCCACAACTTGTCATGATCCACACAAATGTCTTTGCATAGTCAATAAAGCACAAATAGACATTCTTCTGGTATTCTTTACTTTCAGCCATGATCCATCTGACATCAGCAATGATATCCTTGGTGCCATCGCCTTTTCTAAATCCTGCTTGAACTTCTGGCAATTCCCTATCTATGCACTGTTCCAGCACTTTTTGAATGATCTTCAGCAGTATTTTGCTTACATCTAATATCAATGACATTGTTCAATAATTTCCGCATTCAGCTGGATCACCATTCTTGGGAATGGGAATAAATATGGACCTCTTTCCAATCCAAAGGCCAGACAGACATCCTCCAAAACTTTTAAATACAAAGGCCCACCCACCAGATTCTGTTTGGCTACACAAGAGGCTTCCCACCCAAGCTGATTATAAATGAGATCAGTTAATCAATTACACTTGAAGATAATGAAGATGGCCAAGGATAGGGCAAGATTCAGGTCCACTGTTCATAGGGTCGCTATGAATCGACTCCATGGCACCTAACAAAAGCAGCAGAAAAGAATGCCAAGAACAAACAAATCTGTCTTGGAAGAAATGCGGTAAGAGTGTTCCTTACAAGCAAAGACTAAGAGACTAAGTCTCATACATGGTACCAGGAGGTCCAGTCACTCGAAAAGATCATGCTTGGAAAGTCAGAAAAAGAGAGGAAGGCAGTCAACAAGATAAACTGACACAATGACTGCAACAACGTGCATAACAGAAACTGTGAGACTAGGGTATGGTTTTGACCTGTTGCCCATAGGGTCACTATGAGTCTTAGGCAACAGCATCTAACATTTAGCAAGGAAAGCCACCTGACTTTTCCTCTCTCGGCTCCTCTCTGGCCAATTTTCAGAAAACTACAGTTAAGCACAGCAATTCACTGAGGATGGGTGTCAGAGTGCAGGAACACTGAGAATTGTACATGGAGAACTGGAGCAGTTGGCCATGTAAACATCTCTCCTGACTCCACTGAGGAGGCCCGCTGGGAAGTGACTGAAACTGACAGCAGGTGACTTGGAGTGGCCTGCTGGGCCTGGAAAGGCAAACTCACTCATGTGTGAGAAGCCAGTTTACTGCTTTCAAAACAACTCAAGAGCTTCCTATGTCTACTGTAACACTCCTCATCAAAATATGGAGGATATTTTGTCTTGGGACCACCCATTTACTTCAGTGATCCATGTTACCTTTCCCAGGCATCCAGTGCAGACTTTATTTACATAAACTCAACACAGACCTCTGCCACAGACAACTCTGCTCCCTCACCTACAAAAAGCCCCATTCCCTTAATGCTGTTAAGTAATACAAACAGAAGTATGAATAAAAGTGTTTAAACTGAAGTGTGAATAACAATAGGTTTGTCTTATCTCCTCCCCCAAGAGGTTTTATGTTATAAGGGCTCCCACCTCCCTACCCCCTTCTGGCAGCTCCATACCTCCTACCAAATACTTTAAATACTTATTCATTAGTGTCTCAGGAAAATACTGGCAAATAAATTACGAAGCTCTACAAGCAAAAGGGCAGGGGGGAAAAAAAGTTTAATAAGATGAAAAGGGTACTTGGCAGGATTATTTACATACAACAGAGAGATGCAGTGTAGCTAGCACTAAACTGGTAACCTTGTTTGATCAGGAACAAAGAGTTGCACACTGTCATCATATTTATTGTTGAGTTTTTTTATTATTGGTGGTTTTCCATTAATTTCCTTAACATAGGTCTCTGGGAAAATTTCAGGAGAAACCAAAAAGAAATGCCTGAAATGGTCAAACCGCACAGGTGTGGCTGGGACTCCAGGCAGAAGGGAGGGCAACTCCTGTGGCGTTTCAGAATGCCATGGAGTTTTCCTTGGTCACCCCACAGTGGACAAAGGTAGCTGTGGGTAAAGTCCTGTAGATAGACTGGGGCGAAGTGACACCACACACTGTCACCTTGGACAACGCCTAATACAAATTAAAAGAAAACAAACAACATCATCCTATTTATGTACCGCTCAGCCAACCAACTTGACTGTTAAGTGCCTTCCCCAAAATAACACTCCAATGTCAAGTGGCGAGCACAGGACAGAAGCGGACCGAGGATGTAAGGGAGAAGCGAGCTTTGTAAGCTGTGGCTGACGTGACAACCGGCTCCATGAGAGGGACTGGGGAACTCGGAAGAGGCCTCGCACCCGCAAACGCACCCACAGGCAGAGGCGCGGGCGGGGAGCAGGCTGGCGCCCGCTCGCCGCCCGAGAACAGGTCCCGGGAACCGGAGCGACGCTGGCCGCGGCCCCGCCACCACTGACCTTGTAGCCACCCCACACGAACATGTGGCGCCCGTCGCTGACGGCTACGTGGCCGCTGCGCTCCGCGGGGCAGGCGAGCTCCACAGACTCATCGCTCTCCAAGGCTGGCCCTGGCGAGTCGTCCGCCCGCAGATCCTCGTTGCCATCAGCCATCTTGAGGCTGTACTTTCGTTCACCAATAATCCCAACACTAGAGACGAGGATGGGGGGGGAGGGAGACAAAGGAAAAACAAAAACAAAACACGGCCGAAAGAGGCAGGAAAAAGGAGGTTGGGTTAAGGCCTCGCTGTTACTTCCCAACTCCCGCCAGTAAGATGCACCGCCGCCGAGCAGTGAGGTCGGGGACAGGGACCCGGAGGGAGCGGTGAGGGAACCAGCACCAGCGCGGACCACGGCGCAGGGTGATGTTCCGCCGCCGCTCAGCTAAGGGTGCACCTACCCCGCCTCCAGAACGCGCCTCCCAGGCGACAGCCCCTATTTACACGGAGACCGGAAGCGCCCCCGCCAGCGCGCCCGCCTCGCCCCGGAAGCGCGGCTGCAGCCCAGCGCCCCCAGGGCCGGGTCCTCCCGCGGCGTCCTTGCCCTCGCGGCCTCTGCAGCCGCTGCAGGCCGATTGTTTGGACAGCGCCTCTCCTTCGCCACAACTAGACCTGCTCCTCAGTTCAAGGCCTGAACCCGAAAATTTAGTCTCTTTTCACTTAAGGGCACCTTTCACAGGATGTATTCCGTTTTACCTAGTTCTGCACAACTAAATTTCTCTTTGAGGAATGTTCTCGAAAATTTCACAGCCTGTAAAATGGCCCCGAAATTGACTACCTAGTAAATACTTGGTTTCGGCCTCTCCAAGATAATGTTCCCTTTTTCCTTGTGGACAAGAATTAGACCTGCTTCAGAGTGAAAGTATTGCCTGTTAGGCCTAGCAGAAAAATTAGCTACTTAACTTGCCTTCAGTATTGACTTCAGTCCAAATCGCTAATTCAAAAACCGTTAATTTTCAGACTTTGGAAAAACTTCCTGCTAATTCATTTACGGTTTCCCTTAGATAATTTCTTTATTATCAACTTGTCATATTCTCTCTCATTGACCTTGAGTCAGAACAGACTCAGCTGACTCTCCAATGGGTTTTGGGAGGCTATAAATTGTTCAAAAGGAGACTAGCCCATCCTCCTCCTATGAAGCAGCTGGTAGATTGAAAGGAACGGAGAAGTGCAGCTCTCCGTGGACTATGAAACCAGAGCATGCTGTTGTTGTTCAATGCTTCATAGTGACCCTGTGAACAGTAGATCTGGATTGCAGCACAGTCCTGTCCTAATCCAGTGCCAACTTCATCTCTGGCACAGGAGCCCACTGCTGTTAAGTCAGTGCTTCAATCCATCTCCTTCAGAATCTGCCACCTTTCCAAGCATGATGTACCTCCCCATGTTGTTGTTACGTGCCATCGAGTTGCCTGTGACTCATAGCGACCCTATGAACAAGAGGCCTAAACTCTGCTCTATCCTGTGCCAACCTCACTGTCTGACACACCTACTCCCATTGCCCCAATCACTAAATTGATCCATCTCATCGAGGGTCTTCCTCTCCTGCACTGTCCCTCCACCCTCGCAAACATGATGTCCCTCTCCATGGAGTGGTGTCTCCTTGCAACATGTCCAAAGTATGTTAGACAAAGTGTCAGAATCCTTGCCTCTAAAGAGCAGCATGGTATCTTCCTCTCCATGATGAACCTGCTTGTTCTCTTAGCAGTCCACGATATTTTTAAAACTCATCTCCAACACTGCAGCTCAACGGCATCAATTCTCCTTCTATCATCCCTAAGTCACTGTCCATCTCTCTGATGCATAGCAAGTGATTGCAAAGACCATGACCTGCATCAGGAGCACCCTAGTCTCCAGCCTGACGTCATTGCTTTTCAGTACTCTGGAGAGGTCCCTAACAGCTGACTTTTCCAGTGCAATTCATCTCTTGCTTTCCTGGCTGCTGGTACCAAGAGTGTTGACTGTGGAGTCAAGAAAACTAAAACTGCTAACAATCTCAATTTTTTTCACCATCCTTTATGCTGCTGCCAATTGGCCCAGTGGTGAGAATCTTTGTTTTCTTGATGTTGAACTTCAATCCACATTGAAGGCTGCAGTCCTTGACCTTCTGCAGCAAGTGCTTCTGGTCCTTCTCAATTTCAGCAAGCAGGGTTGTGTCATCTGCATAACTCAAATTGTTGATGAATCTTTGTCCAGTCCTGATGCCACATTCCTCCTCATACAGCCCAGCCTCCCAGATGATCTGTTCTGCCTGCATACATACTGAAAAGGTACGGAGATAGGATACATCCCTGGCAGACACCCATCCCGATTTTGAACCTTGCTCTGTTCTGATGACTGCTTCCGGGTTTAAGTGTAGGTTTCTCATAAGCACAGTCAAATCTTCTGGGGTTCCCATTCTTCTCAGTCAGCCACAGTTGTTTTTTTTGTTTTTTTTTAATGATTTTTTTTAAATTTTATTATTTTTGTGTGCGTGTACCGTCAAATCAGATCTGACTGGTACAGGAGGAGATTGCCCCTCCTTCACCGGCAGAGCATCTGGTGGATTCGAACCGTGCACCTCTGGGATTGTAGTTGCAGCTTCTTGCCACTAGGCCACCAGAGCTCCCCAGCCACAGTTTTTTATGATGCATATAGTCAAAAGCCTTTGCATAGTCTCCATAATAGTCTATGTGTTTCCTACTGCCAAAGGGGCCCTTTAGAGTAGTGAGAGAAGATCTTCACCCTGAAACCCACAGCGTCCCTTTTCAGCAGGAAGTAGCTAAGAGAATACGCCGTCCCCCTTTTCCTTATGACTCAGGGTGAAGTCTCTCTCAGGGAGGAGTGATAGGGAATGGCAAAGGATACACTGACAAAGAAGATTAATCAGAACTGGCGTTGACAAGCACTGTGGCATTTGGACAAGAACACCCTGGGAGGAGGGTAGAGAGAATAGTGCAACAATGAATGAGTGGAAGCCCAAAATCTCTGTAAATGTTTATGAAAATTAATAAAATATAATTATAGAAAAAAAAAAGCCTTTGCATAGTCAATGAAACACAGAAAGACATTCCTCTGGTACTCTCTGCTACTATCCCTACTACCATGGCCTCTTCTAAACCCAGCCTGTACATCTGGCAGTTCTCTGTTGACATGTTGCTCCAGTTGTTTTTGGATAATTTTCAGCAGAATCTTGCTTGCATGTGATATTAATGATACTGCTTGATAATTTCCACTCTGTCAGCTCACCTTTCTTTGGAATGGAAACAAATATAGATCTCTTCCAGTCAGTTGGAGAGGTAGCTGTCCTCCAGAGTTCTTGGCACAACTTAGTGAGCACATCCAGGGCAGTTTCTATTTGTTGAAATATGTCAACTGGTATGCCAGCAATTCCTGGAGCCATGTTCTTTCTCAATTCTATCAGAGCAAATTGAACTTCATCCTTCATCACCACAGGCTCCTGTTCATACATTGTTTCATGAAATTCTTCTGTGTTAACCAGTTTCTTCTGGTACAGTAACTGTATTCTCCCTCTATCTTCTTTTAATGCTTCTTGGATCATTTAACAGTCTGCCCAAAGCATCCTTAAATATTGCCACTCGTGGCTTGAATTTGTTTTTCAATTCTTTCAGCTTAAGAAATGCCCTTTTGATTTTCTGACTCCAGCTCTTTGCACATTTCATTATAATATCTTGCTTTGTTATCCTGAGCTTCCCTTTGACATTTCCAGTTCAGCTCTTTAATTCTTGACTTCTTCCTTTAGCTTTGGCTTGTGTTGGCACTCTAATGCAATATTCAGAGTCTCATCTGACATCCATCTTGGTCGTCCTCTTCAGTCTTTGTAATCATCTTTTGCATGCCAAGAATAGCCTCTCCTAGCATCATGCCCAAAGTACGTGAGACAGTTCTGTCATCTTTGCCTCCAAGCAGCATTTTGGTTGCACTTTCTTCAAGACATATGTTTGTTCTTTTGGCAGTCCATGGAATGAATATTCGGCACTGTTCATGGCATCAATTCTTCTGCTATCCTTATTCATTTTACAGCTCTCAGCAGCACAACTCATGATAGAAAAGACCATGGTCTGAATCTGGTGCACTGTAGCCTTCAAACTGACATCATTACTTCTTGGTAATTTAGAGAGGTCTGTAACTACAGACTTACCCAGTGAAATACATTTCCTAATCTCCTGTTAGCACTAAGGGTGCTGATTGCAAATCCAAATAAGATGAAATTGTTGACAATTTCAATCTTTTCTCCATCTATCATGACGTTGCCTTACGGTCAAATGGTGGGGCTTTTTGTGTTCTTGATGTTGAAATGCAATCCATATTTAAGGCTGTTGTCTTTGGTCTTCTTCAGCAAGTGTCTCAACTCTTCTTTGTTTTCAGCAAGCAAGGTTGTGTCATCTGCATAACACAGCTTATTGATTAGTCTTCCTCTAATCCTGGTGCCACATTCTTCCTTCACTGAGTTCGACTACTTGAATGATTTTCTCAGTATACAGATGGAATAGGTATGGAGAAAGGATACAATGCTGACCACAAACCTTTCCTTTAAGGAAAGAAAACCTTACGACTCGACAGCATTAAACAACAACAACAACATATTCCCTTACTCTATTCTTGGTCATAGTATTGTTGTTATGTGTCATTGAGTCACTTGTGACTCATAGCAACCCTATGTACAACAGCCCTAAACTATCTTGTGCCAACTTTTTTTGGTCTCTGACACACCTACGGCCACCAACACAGTGACTGAATCAATCCATTTCATTGAGGGTCTTCCTATCTTGTACTGTCCCTCTACCTTTTCAAGCATGATGCCCTTTCTTTCAATATCCCAAAGTATGTCAGATGGAGTTTCAGAATTATTGCCTCCAAGAAGCAGCCTGTTTCTCTAGGATGAACTTGTTCTCCTAGCAGTC